GGGCAGCGTGCCACAGCTGATCGAACGCTTTCGTGATGTCAAGACAACGACATGAGCCTCACCATGAGACTGGATGAGTTTACTCCACAGTTGCGTGACGTAAGCTAGAAGGTCACCTGTGGATCGTTGGTGCCGGAAACCGTACTGCCTGTCGCTAATCAAGCTGTGACGTTCGAGGTAGTCTAGAAGCTCGCGATTTATGCACCTCTCCATCACTTATAACAGAAAGCAGAGCTATAGGCCTGTAGTTGTAAGGGTCGGTTTTATATACTTTTTTTGGGATGGGCTGTACATGAGCAAATTTCCAGTTTTCTGGGAAGGTGCCGGATTCATAAGATATCTGGAAGAGACGCGAAAGAACTGGAGCAAGCTCCGCTGCACATCTCTTCAGTACAATGGCAGGAATCAAGTCCGGACCAGAAGCTTTGTTGATGTCGAGCGACAAGAGCACTCGTCTTACGGTCTTATGCCTGAAGGTAACAACCTCCCGCATAGTGTGGGGAACCCTTTGGATTGACGGCACTTGGGCGTTGGTGGGGACGTCCATGGTGGAGTTGGCAGCAAAGATCTTGGCTAGCACTTCCGCCTTGGCCTTTGAGTCGAATACAATAGTTCCATCCTGACACGTAAGTGGTGGAAGGCTACTGTGCGAGAAGTTCTTTTCAATCTGCTTGGCCAGCGTCCAGAAAGACCGACTGCCATTGCGCTGCGACATTACCCTGTGCCTAACTTTTATATCATGCTGGTTTTTGGCATTGCGAACCGCTTCGTTATATTTGTTTCTGGACTCGACGTCGGCTTGTCTGTTCTCTACAGTGGGGTTTTGTAAGTAGGTTCTGTGGGCCTTGATCTTCTGCTGGCGAGCAGTGTCACACGATTTGTTAAACCAGCCGTTGGGCCCTGGTTTAGGAACTTTCACTGTGTGAGGGATGTATTCCTCCATTCCGACGTGGATAATTTCGGTTATTGAAGAACAGACAGTCGACGCATCCGCGTCAGTGAAACAGACATCTCTCCAAGGAAAGCTAGAGAAGAAGTCTCTGAGCCCCTCCCAGTCGGCATGTCCGTAATGCCAAGTTTTGCGGCCTGTGCGAGTGTCTGCTGCCGCAGCGGCTTCTGACCGAAACCTAACCTCCACAACACCGTGATCTGAGTTACCCAGGGGGGACAGGACAGCAGTGCTGTAAGGGGCAGGATGCGTGGTCAAAAAGAGATCCAGCAGGCCACAGGCGTGTGACGAGACGCGGGGGAAAAAAGTAGGGCTCGTCACCAGCTGGGTCAGCCCTTGAGTAAGAGCGAACGCTTCGACTGCACGACCTGCTGCATCGGTCTTATTTGAGCCCAACCAAAGCTCATTATGGGCATTGAAATCACCGAGAAGAACTACCTCTGAAGCGGGGTGATTGATGTTCAGGAAGTCGATCTGGACGGCGAGGTATTCGAGTAGGTCATCCCAGTTATGGTTCGAGGGAGAGCGATAAAGGCAGCAAATAAATTTGGGTGATGTTTTGGAGTTGAGGCGAAGCCACAGAATGTCCTTCCGGTCTGATTCCAAAGAAAGATCCCTGGAGCAGGAAAGACTGCTGCGGACAAAAGCCACAACTGCCCCGTTCTTTCTCAGATTGGAGTACACCTCGGAATTTGGGAAGCTAAGATGGTTAATAGGTGCAGACGCTGAGATTTTTGTCTACGCTAAGAAAAGCACGGCGGGACGATTGGATTGCAGGTAGTGATGAACAGCATCAATGTTGCTGTTAATCCCGCAGATGTTCGAAAAACAAATTTTATCTTCGATGTTGTTCCCTCGAGCCCACCCTCCACCCGGACATTCCGAGAGTGGAGTGAGTTTACGATGCTTGGGGTGACTTGGAGTTACTCGATTCCGTGAGGACATATTATAGTTATATATTATATAGGTACGTATCAAGAGCTATTGCAATCATTTATTGAACATTGGTGACAAACAGTTTTACACGAGAGCTCCAAAGACATGAGACTATAGTGTACGGACACATTCATTGCTACAATATGATATTTTTTAAAGAAAAAACTCAATTAGTACGCTAATATTTCTGACAAAATCTACGGCTTTTTGATGACATTGCACTACGTGCAAAATTGTACTAGACATTATTTCGTAGGCGTGGGAGTATAGAGTCATTCTACTTAGGCCATTTTTTACACGGATATCAGCAATCGTATCAATTATTTCAAAAATGTAGTATATGGAAGCTGACGGTAGATTTACATCTTCTGCAAACTCGAACAAAACGTGATAGTGTAGGTGTACCCGAATGTGAATTTATTAAACGCCAATGTGAATCAAGATGCAAAATAACAGCAACTATATTTCTGTCTACTGGCCCACTCACAATCGTCCAAACACAAATTCTAAATATACACACTCACACTACACTACAGTCGATCCAGTGACGCAGGATCCAGATAAACAAATATTGTTTAGGCCAATCAACTTAGATCAGCAATGGGATTTTATAAAATATTCATATTTCGATGAATCTTGCCCCCATAATCTAAATATATTCCGAATATTTTTCCATGAACGAAACTTGACAAAACGTAAAATTTCGTACCAAAGCTGTGACGTAATACGTTTTTCTACGCCCTGTTTCTAGAATTTGACCCTATCTGCCATGAAGTTATGCTTCCGTCAGAGGCAACGGAAATAACATTAATAATACACTATATCCGGACCAATATGACTCTGTATGCATTGTTGCCAGATATACGGTAGATTGGTGATTTTAACACCATAGTGTTATTGAACTGCACTGCACTACTTCGACCTATCGTTTTCTACAATAGATTTCTAATTTCGTTGTGGATAGTTATGTTTTTGGTCTCTATCGGTTGCTTTTCGGCTATGTTTAGCAAATTCAGTAACATTTTAGCATGTTTAGCCGGTAATTTTAGGTTTCTAATGTAGGCAGCAGCGGTGGCCGCACTAGTAGACTCGTCGGTCTCCTGATCAGTCGCCGTGCGCTGTGCGGGTTCGAGTCCGGTCCCAGGAGACATTTTTCTCTTGGCTATGGATGTTGTGATTATCCGTAGGTGATAGACGGTCTCTGACTGTCGAATGTGGAGGTACCACCCGGCGGATCTCGTAGGCATGTTGCATGCCAACGTGTTCCCTCGCCAGAGTCCGTGTGGCGTTCCCCCTTTCCCCTGTATCCCCTATAGCCCCACGGTACCCAATGGGTGTTTAGGCCTTAGGCCTTCGTGGTAGTTGGAGTATAAAAAAAATATAAGTGCAAATTATCAGATTTTGCAGTTAGTGTGGTTATGTTTTGCGATATTTTTATGTTTGGGTTCAAAATAATTTCTATTTATATCCGAATAATATAAAGTTTCCCAATAATGTTTGCGCTAAATGCAATTCAAATTCTGAAAGTGATGAATGAAAATAGATTGGAGGCAATCTAGAAAGAAGTGTAATGCGAGAAGAGAATAGTTCTTTTGCCATTAAAGATATGGAAGATGCGCGATTTGTGGTATTGTTTTATTTGAACAATGAAATGGCGTGCTATTATAATTAAATCATTAGTAAATGTCATCTTTTTTGTTTGAAGTTGAAGTTTGAATAAAATACCATATATGTGAGCCGATAGAAATCATTCGAGGGTAAACATAGCAACTTGTCGATTATGTGAATGCACAGTGTGCCGATTGACTCGAATCGTGCTGATATGAAGAATATGTTAGATCACGGAGTTCCATTTCTGTCCCATCCACATGAATGTAATGCTAAACGCTATCTTGTCGCGCCTATGCACCGGAAGTAGAAGTACAATTTTCGAAACAAATGAGAAAGTTCTGACTTTCCTTTAGGATCCTAAGATATCCTACGTCATCCCGAAATGTCAATGCGGTTGTTCCCCAGGGTTCGATTTTGGCTCCAACATTGTTTTTTGTGCTAGTGATAAGTCCGATCCACGTCATCGTGGATAACAAACGTCTATCTTTCTTCATTACCACATATTGTAAAAGATGTCGCTCGTACAGAAGAAAAGTGGCATAATTGAAAAAGCTACATTATTGAGAAAAGGCCCAGATAAGTCGTAGCTCCGAGTATTACTCGCGTGTTTCGGGTGCTACCGCCCCGACTACATTGTCCATGCTCGATGCTGTATAGAAGGGGGCTGCCCAACTCATCGATGCCACTTCTCTAACGGACAGTCTCGGGACCCTTTCGCATTGACGCGACGGGCTGTCTGGGATCTCGCTCTCTTCTACCTTTATATCAACAGGCTTTGCTGCTCAGAGCACTCTTCCATGAAGCCGTCGCGCGATGAGCCTGTCAGACAAACATGTTCTACTAATCTTCAGTTCAAAAATCGGATTAAAAAGATGTATTTGAGCTTCTTATAGCAGTTCTTGTCATCATATTATTGCTGCCACTTTTCAGCGGGAAATGTTACAATCTTTCGGAGCTTACACAATAACCTTTTGACACTTTTTCTGATGAAAATAGGTTACATTTTGTTGCGTTTCTACGATTTAATTAAAATAACTACAATGTTCGTGTTGTGTCACATTTCTTTCGGATAAGAGATTTGTTGTTTTGGAGAAGCTGCAATGTAAATCCTACCTTATTCAAACCTAATTTACGGGACGTTTTTTTTTTAGGTTTTTTTGTCCATCAGATCCACCTTGATAGGGATCAAGCCTTGTATTTTCCGGTGAAGTTTATGTTTCCTGAATGGAAAGATTTGAATGCAGTTTAAGGTTGTCGGGTTCAATAATCAAAGTTGTCCTTTTAGTACCTATTTTCACTGGCCTATCATCGACGTTTGATCATCTCACTCCAACATTCAAAAGTTATCAGCGCATTATCACTTATCACACGGCCTACCTGCTTATCACTAGACTCAAATATACACAAATATGTATCAAAAACACTTTTCACTGTGCGTAATGATTACATAATATAAATAAACCTTTTGGAGTGTGAAAAATAACAAAAAATTTGTGGGGCTTAGGTGATGACCCACCGATGGGCGACCAACAGCAGTACCGGTACATGACTGTGGATGACATGAAGTCGCTTGGTGATGATTCTATGAGAATGGACGTTACTAGAGATGAGAAGGGTGAATACAACAGGAATTCGTTGGGTGAGTACTACTGTTGACATTACCAGTAAAGCTTGTATGCTTGCTTTTTCTTATAAATGGAAGCTCCTATATTCACAGACACACTTACTGGTATACAGGGTGTCACATAAAATGTCAATATCTCCTATGCATATTGAAGACATAAAAATAACGCCACGAGATATATATTATATCCTTAAGTGTAAATGAGACTGTCATTTGTTTTGAGATACAAAAGATTTTGGTGGGCAACTTTTTTTATTAAACGTCGAAGTGTTCGCGTGCATTCAAAAAACTTTGAAGTACTGATCTAATTGGTCGACAAAAGACCTTTAAAATGAGTATATCATATGTCCAATTTGCTATAGCGGTTACGTCTCTAACTGCTCGTAAAAAACATCATTAACCTCAAAAATGTAACGGCAATGATATAAAAATACAGGATCAGGATGTTTAAACGAGAATTTCGATTCTGAAAATAACTCAAGTTTCAAGTGTTTGCAGTTGACTATTTCAGATTATATTGTAAACTTTCATTAACATTTGCTTTTTTATAGTTCTTGGCTGTTCTTTAAAAGCCAGAAGCAAGTTTTCGCATTTTTGCCCAAAATTTATCAATTTTCGCATATTTAACATTTTTCATTTTTGTATGAGCGCATGGTCGGAACACTTTGTGCTCAGTTATATACATCATGTAAAATACACCATTGTATACGCTTATACATTTGTAATTGTATACGTCTTGATATTCATGATGTATATGCTACGCCTGTAAACGTTATTTTTTAATTTTTGAATAATTGGAAAAGGTATACATACAGATATTTGTTCTTTATATATACACAGTGTTAAATGGAGAAATACCTCAAAAATGAAATAAAATACAGTCTGGAAACAAAACCCAGCCATTTCATTCAGCGCGTCAGCACGCCTTATCGGTCAATCGTAACAAGTCATACGCTTTCTTACTACTTCTTCTTACTATACTTTCTGATTTAATTTGTGCTTATACTAGGCAAGTTTAGGCGAGTAGAAATTGGAAAATTGACAGAATTTTACTTAGGTACCTCGAAGGAATATGTTCTTCCAGCTTTGCAAAAAAATGAACCCTAGTTAATCAAGTTTCTTATTTTTAGTGCCCCCAACGGTATTGTTTTTAGTTGTCGGCTCACTAATGTTTTGACATTTGTGAGTTAACCTAATCTCACTTATGATATTCTATACACTGTCTATACCATTGTATACGTTGTATGCGCATTATCTACATCGAAACGTAGACAATGGAAGTATACCCGTAAACGCCCATCACTGTAAATTGTACTTCAAATCTAATAAAACACAATATAGGACACAAAACATACACATAAGATCTTTTAATATGAGCGAACTGGGTCAATACTCTGATTGCAATATGTTTTGTGTCTCAGTGTTTTATTATAAATTTAAAGTAGGATGTGTTGCGATCATGCGCTCTTATATAAAAATTGTAAATATTTAAACATGGAAGAATTTTTGGCAAAATGTCAACTTTGCTAACTTTGGGCTGTCAAGAAACAATCAAGTACTAAAATAAAAATAAAAATGTTGATAAATGCTTAAAATATATATGATCTGAAATATTTAAACCAAAAAATCTCATAGATGCGATCAACGTGAATTTTGAGTTATTTTCAGGGCCGAAACCCCCGCCTAGATCCTGGTTCTTTGAAAATTGGCGATGATATAAAAATTGTAATTTTTCTTAATCTACACTGTATTTTTTCAGCCCCATCCCACATGAGCAACGAGCTATCAATAAACAAATGCTATTCCCCCCTCCTCCAAGCTGACATAGACAACGTTGACATTAACCGGCATCCTGTCACAGCAGGGTAAGTATCGCATAGTTTTATCATATTATTTATAGAAAATATAATCGCTTTGGTATTGAATTAAACATGTGTTATATCCCTTTTTCCCGTGAATGCTTTTTCTGTATTTTGAAAAAATATTTGCAGCTCCAGTATGATAACGGTATGAAAAATATGTGGCTCTTTATCCTTTCAGAAAAGATATCTAGATAGTTTGATATCGTATTTGCAGAAATTACATGTGTAGCTTCCTAATCTGAAAAAACGATTTAAACTACGTTTAGACGTCAATAGACTGAATGAATTTCAATATTAAAGCGTCGATTTTGGGTCCATCATAAGAAGAAAACTTAATATGAACGTCTTATGAGATCCAGGGTGGTTTTCATCTAAAAAATAAAATATATGTTTCTGCATGGTGATATTGTATATTAACGATATTTTCGGTTACGGTAACGGTTTTTTTTATGCGAATACTGTGCATTGGATTACAAAAATTAAATTTGCTTAGAAATGATGGAATATTTCAAGAATAATTTTTATTTCAACAGAAAGCAGTTTCGTACCATCATGCCTGTCGAAATAGGCAGAGGAAATTGAGTACGAATGCTACTGGCGGAAATTTAAAAAAAAGAATGTGGTACATAAAAAATGCCTCTTAATACATAGTACATGTATGTCAAATGTCATTTTTTTTTTAAATTTACCACCCTGTGTCTCAAAAATTGAGATGCTAGGCCATACGTTCATATGAAGTTTTTTTTTTAAATAGACTCAATAATCACACCATTAAATATTGACATTTAGAATTTTCTCTTCCATATCTAATTCCAAGGTCTAAATACCAAACTGTCTAGATGCATGTCCCCTGCTCCCCAAACGCTGCGTGGATATCTCTGTGCCTCCCTGCAGATAGTAGCATTCTGAGCCTCAGACCCAAAACCTCCCAGAACCTTTATTACGTAAAACATTCCACAGCAACCGTTACTGACAAATGTTGCTGTTATACGAGGGTCATTTGTTGAATAAGAACCGTTTTGTAAAGGAGTCACAGACACTTTATTTATAAATGTAAATTGTAACACAAACTAAAATATGAACATTTTTTCATTTCTTAACATAGATACCATAAACATTTAAATATTTTTTAAGTCATGGCACCAGCTTTTGAATCCCGTCGTCAAAGAACCCTGTCAGTTGAATGTAAAACCAGTTAGTAACTGTTTCGTTAGTCATCATTTTACAAGAGCTTTCCACGAAGAAATTCCTCCAGTTTTAGAAAAAGATGGAAGTCTGATGGTGCTAAGCCAGGGCTGTATGGTGGATGATCCATTAATTTCCAATAAAAGTTCTTGCAGCAACGCGAGTCCGTGCTTTGCTGTGACGCAAAAGATTCCGCTAGAGGCGCCGCCAGCAGTTTTGAATACTGAGCGCGCTTTACAATTTGCGACAAACAAAGCAGTATAACCACACAACCAACACTGCCAGAGATGTGAAACGTGGCGGGGAAGTGAGAGACTGGAAAAGAGTGAAGAGTGTCTGAGGTTGAACGGACGTCGCGTTACAGGATGCGCCGGACGCTACGCAATCGGTTCTTACTTTAAAAATAGCCCTTGTCTTGTAATGTTTTACGTGATCAGGTTGCTAAACCTCAAGTAGTTGTAGTTGTGTATGTATTCAAGCTTGTGCAGTGAAGATTGGGCTGATCTAGAGTACTCTTTGAAACGAATGCAATTGGTGGAGAAAATCAACAGGCGCAGAGCCGGCCTTTGCAGAGAAAGGTATTTAAAAGTACTACCAAGTACTACTCTGTGTACTACCATGTGTACAGATGCACCGAATGCACTGCCTTTCTTATATTATCTTACTCACTGGTATTAAAGAACCCAGTTCAAAACATATGGGCAATGGGTCCCAGTCGATTTGTCTGAAAATTCAGTATGACATATTTCTCACCTTTCTGAACAAAAGCTCTCATGAGACCAAAGTTTACCTGATTTGCTGAAGTGGTGAATCTGCCGATTGTAGTTTTGAGACCAAAAACTCTGAGAATCTGCTAACTGAAAGGAGTATTTTATTAAAACGCTTTGTAGAAAGGGAGGTATCATATTGCTGCTGACCATGATCCTAACAATGTCAATTCATGGGCATATTGATTTTTAGATGTTAATTCTGTAATAGGACAGTTCGCTTCTGAATGGCCCAGAAATGCCGTGGTTGTTTCCTTGTCTTTGAACGTGAACTAAACAAGGTCAGATCAAGGTCACGTTCATTTTAAAGATAGAAGGGAAAAAAAGAGCACAAGTGTGGTCATTACTATAAGCTGTTGCAAGGTATGGTTATATTTTACACTGACCAATAAATAGAACCACACATGTTCAATGTTCTAGTTTGCATCGGCAGCCTTTTCCAAAGTGCGAATGAATCAAATTAATGACACATAAGTTTATGAAACTGATAATCAATTAGACGAAGAGTTTTAATTTATTATGTGTTGTACAGACGTCATAGCTCATTTGTTTTAACCGCCGATGTAGACTATTATTAAGCAATCTTCGGGTACAAGTGCTACATTTGCATTTTTCATGAATCAACCTTCTAAGGATCATTGTCAAGATCAACATGACACTTCCCGGTTTTTTAATGAAATATTTATTTCAGAATAACAATTCTCCGAGAATTCGCCCTGAGAACTACAATAGGTACATTCACCATTTTCACAAATCGGGCAAAACTTCTCATTATTTCTCAGAATCCAATCATAGGGTTGCTTTGGTCACATGAGAACTTTTGTTCAGGCAGGTGATGAATATATCATACTAAATTTTTAGGCAATTCGACTGGGACCGATTTTCTATGTTTTGTGCGGTGTCCCTTGTAAAAAATATGTATGCTACTTCTTCCCTGAACGATTTCTTCTTGGTAAAATGGTTATGTTTCTCTCTTCGATTTGTTCTTAGTGAAACGCTTAGTTTTTTAGATGTTTTTTCAAAAATCTTCTCCGATTATCCGAATTTTATAGTAAGAGGGTAGTAACATTTACAATGGTCTAATTAAGCCAGGAACCAAATACGAAACAGCTTCACATTTGAAGTACTCGTATAGGATAGCAACATCTACAGGTCGCGTACTCATTGTTTGAACTATTGGATAAACAATTCGATATTTATATTTTTATAATATTGTAGTAATAAACTACATACCCTTTGCAATGTCAAACCTCGCAAGCTTCAATATATTTTCAAAGTGGAACGGATTTAAATTTTTCGTATTGAATGTTCTGTTCATTCCATATATTAAAACCATTTTTCATCCAAATGGACAAAAATGTTTCTGGAGAAATAATACATGAAAAATTAAATAACTTATTTCAAAATGAAATGATGTTTCCAAAAATAGCATAGAAAATATGATTTTTTCTTGTCTGAATGAGTTCCGTCATTGGTTTAGTTTTAATCACAATTTTTGTGTGCACTTGCACATTATACAAAATTGTGAGTCGATTCCTCTATCTAGTCCGGTAATAATCTAATTTTCGTTTTGAAATTTTCTTTTATAATATTTCCCAAGTTGTAAATTCTTCAAACATGAAAATGTCACGGGTTTTCTGGTTTGTTTTTTGTCGTCATATATTTTGATGCTGAATCCTATTTTACACTTCCTAGTGTGCATGTTTTAAAAATAAACTTTGCTTTTTAAGTCCTGGGTTAGGTCCCTTGACACTATTCTTTTTTCATATTCCTCAGGCTCTGCCTTTACCATTTTTCTTTTACGAGTTTCCAATTCTGTTACAATGATCGCCTTGGTAAGTGCCATGAAGAAATTGTTCAGGTTTGGAAAAACACCAATTAACATAGAGTTGCTAAATTAACATTGGCAAATAATATATTCTAATACTGAGACAAATAAAAATAAGGACAAATATTTATATAAAAAAAAACAATAAATGTTACAATAATATGTTCTGCGATTTTCATGTGAGCAAGCACTATTTTTGTGTATATTAGACATTCAGGCTGCTAAGAAAACCTCAGAAATTCAACTTATAAAGGAAGGTCAACTCATAAAATGTGCAGTCCTCTATTATTCCAAGTAGTAATGGAAAATGAATAAATAAGAATAAGAAGCTTAAACCAAAATTTGTCTTTTTACCTTCATAAAATTTGTAAAAACCGTGGAATGGCAAAAAACTGAATGTGCTCTCTTAAATCTTAAATTTTAGAAACAATGGGAATGGAAATATGCAGAAACAATCAATGTATCATTATTTTTTTAAGTTTCTGCTCTACATGAGGTATGTGTATAAATACCTTCACTTTATATATTTTAATGCCACTTGCAGTAGCGCATTTGCATTAACTAAGCTTTGTTTGTTGTCGATGGGTCGTCAGTTCCCCAAACTGGAAGAAGTAAGTTATTGTTTTATAGTGTACATACTGCTTGACAAGTAGGTAGCAGCTTTTAGTAGTTTAGTTATGCTTCGATCATCCCTTCCTCACCCTTTGATGCTTCATTAGATTTAGTTACACCTATAACATTCAAAGTAGCAGTGTGTATATAAAGATCATGTTTTGTATTATTTTTTGACAGTTGCAGATATATTTTTCATGCCAATATTGTTAAATTATTGCTGTCACCTTGCACATTCCATGTTGTGTTTCAATTAATAGGTGCATTTTATGATTTACTAGTAAATGGTGTTTTTTATCTTTTCAAAGTCATTCATGATCACTTTAAAAAAATGTCAGTCATCAAATCTTTTGATTGTGGTAACGGTTCGAGAAGATGCAGCAGCATGTCTGTCAAAATCGAACTTATCTGTGAGATCACTGACACGCAAGGATTTTGTTATGAGAGTAATGATCAACGTTTATAGAATATGAAATCAAAAGCAGCGTAAAATTCTATCACTATGGCAATATCAAAAGATTCAGATTCTTATTGGTTATTTAATCATCATGCATGACATTATAAGCCAATTAGTGTCTATAAACAATGTTGGCTATATGTATATTTGCGTTAAAATCATGTACACTACAATTCATTAAAATATACCTCTCCCACATTAACAAACCATATTTTTTCCACCAGCTTCCTGGTTTCCTTTATCGTGGACGCCCGCGGAGGAGCCATGCGCGGCTGCAGGCACAGTGGCGTGCGAGTCATCGTACCCCCGAAATGCGCTGGACAACCTACTAGGATCACTTGCCGGTACGTCAGACCTGTCAGGACTCCCCACCCACCACCACTGATGGAAGCCGAGGCATTGGCCAGCAGGCTGTTGGAGTTGGGGCCTGTTGGAGCCAAATTCTTGGGGTGAGTTCAACACTGTTCACAAAACTTGAAGTGATATCCAATTAAAATAGGAATTAAAGAGCTGCTAAGAGAGATTGAAGATCCTAGTACCATGTATGAGACAGAAGCAGAACCAAACACTCTAATTCTTTCCAAAGTGGACATCTAAATTCATTTTTGTGTTTTGCTACTGTGCACGGCGCAGATGTTATTGGGCACCTGTGTTAAATCTCAGATTGCAGTTTCATAGTTAAATAATACAAAAACATTGCAATGACTCTGTTTCTATGAGTTTGACTATTCTTTTTACATGTTTTTAAGACTTTTTGTCTGTTCAGACCAGTGATAATAGAAGTACCGCACTTTGCTTCTCTCCGTGGACAACAACGAGAAATCATTGTACTGAGGTCAGACAATGGAGAAACATGGAAGGAACATACATTGGAAGCAAATGAAGAGGCTATACAAGACGTGCTCAATCACAGTTTTGATGGAGAAGGTAATGATTTGATAATATTTTCCTAGTAACAGTTGTATGCTTTTACCCTGAATCCTAAACTGCGTTTCCGACATTTTTCTTCAATAAAAACACATTTTTTAGCCTATCACCTGTCATTAATTAAGCTTAGAATTTTTGTATATAGTATTTCTGTTCTTAATTTGTTTGTTTGTTTCAGATTTATTTAGCATTAATGCTACAATATCCATAATATCCATATTGCACATAGTATATCACAAAATATATTTGCTCATCAAGACTACATAGTTGTATACAAAATTTCACTACTATGAATTCTGGTTTTCCATGAGATATTTTTTCAATTTCCCTTTGAACATTTTCAAACTGACACACATCTTGATGTCATTACCTAATTTATTAAATTCGTACAATCCCTTTTGAAATTCTGACTTACTCGTTATATTGCTACTGCAGTTTTGTAAATGGAAGTCTATAATTGTGGTAATCATTGTTCAGTACAATAAAATTGTAGTGATTTGGTAGAAGATGATTTTTTAACTTGAATATGAAAATGAAAACCAAGTAGGCTATGAAAATTTTGATATTTAACCATTGCAGATCTTTCAACATAAATTTTATTCTAGCAAATTTAATATAACAAATGAGGAAGAATGCTAGTGTTGTACACAATTTTTTTAGAACGCTTAGGCTATGCGAAATTCAAAAAAAGGAATTTATTTTCTTGGATATTTTTTAAATAATATATTCATAGTGTCCTTCAAATTTTAATTTATTGTCTACGTATATGCCCAAATATTTAAATGATTCGATTGACACAATTTTTTCATGATTAATTGTAAAATTTATCGTATTTTGATCTAAAGATTTTCCTATTAGCATATATTTTGTTTTTTTGTGTTTAGTTTGTTTACATTTAATCAATTTATTACATTTTTCATATCATTATTTAACAGCTCTATTGCAGTTTCAATGTCTTTGTTTGATATATATATATTAATGTATCATCAGCAAATATATAGGTGAATTTTGCAGTGTTGTAAAATATCAGGAATATCGTTAATATATAAAATAAATAATAATGAACCCAATTTGCTACCCTGTGGCACACCTAACGAAATGTTTTTAATGTTTGATAATGTATTGCCAATTTTAGTTCTTTGACTTCTATTGATTAAATAATTTTGTAATAAGTTGAATACTGAACCTTGAAATTCATAGCAATGCAATTTCGTTAACAATTTCTCCCTGTAAATAGTCTCAAATGCTCTCTTGAAATCTAAGAACAATATTACTGTAAACTTTTTTCATCCATATTTCTCCTCCTTTCTTCTACTACCATTTGAATTGCTGTTTCAGTAGAATACTTTTTTCTGAATCCTGCTTGAAATTTTGTCAATATCTTATTTTCTTCAATATATTCAATGACTTGTTCATATATGATTCCTTCTAAGAGCTTCTCGACATCTGACACTACATTAATTGGCCGTATGTTTGTATATAACTCAGAATTTTGCACTTTTGGAACAGGAGTAATTATAGAACATTTTAATTTTGAAGGAAATTCGCCATACACTAAACAGTGATTCACTAACAATAATAACTTCTCTCCAATAATGTTGAACCATTCCTTCATAACCATTTTTGAAAGATGTTCACTAGGATTTCTATTCGATTTCAATCTTGTAATAGCTTTTGAAAGATGGCTGATATTTATTGTTTGGAATTGTCTCATAGAAGAATTATATTAACAGGCAACACAGATATGGAGCAGACGTGTGTGTAGGTGCTCCGAGAAATACAACAAAAACTGTTGTAAAAAAGTTTGTAATCCTTGTGTAGTCATTAACTTTTTGCCAGCGAAAAACAAAAGATTGTCTTATGTAACATAAAGGGAATTCTGTCATTGGCGTCTCACCTTTTACTGGTAGTAGAATTCAATAATTCAATATCTTTTACTGCATACGCCACTCGCGAGAAAATATTAATAAATAATAATGATAATAGACGTCTTTATTTATCTATAATTACATTGTAGTGTAGTATAGCCAAATGTCAGACTTATATGGCAAAGTTTATTTAGCATGCTGAAACTCTTAACCGTATAGTCGCTAGCATACATATGTTCACAACAAAACACTGCTCACAAACAGGTTTGGTTTATTACAACGAAAGTAAAAATTAAAATAAGAAAAAGTCATACTTTTCAAACCCAAGTAAACCAAAAACTATTAATCTCAATTAAACAAGGGATAAAAAAGAATGCTTGATTACGTAAATTATATGTTTGGAGACTTGAGTAATATTGTTTAAACTTTTTGTCGAAAGACATGCAATTATTTATATACTTTAGGAAGGTCATTATAAATAATAATATTGTATGAAAAACTGCGTTTAAAAAGTGTAGACGTATGCTGGGGTATTCTAATATTCTTTTCTCTGAGAGTTCTACACTGAACATCATTATTTTCCCTCAAGTAAGAGGGTTTAGACGTGAGTAGAAACTTGTGGACAACAATTGAATAGTGGTATTCGACCAAGTCGTTAATTTTCAACCATTTAGTCAAATATGAAACGTATACAATTGTTTTGAATAACTTAAATAACATATTTGGTGAAATTGACTAAACATGTGTAGTATACAATATTACAATAATTGAGTATAGATATGACCAATGATGCTTCACATAGTTTTTACGCAACTTAAAATATTGTAATCAGGAAAAATTTCGAAAATGAGATTATATGTTTTTTGTACAAATATCAGAAAAAAACCATTACCTCGTTCTTTTTCGGTGTGCCTGATTTGCTGTCTGTCCGCTAATTCTTGGCATATCTATAACTTGTAAACTACCGCTCGGATTTTGATGAAATTTTCACACAATTGAGGAATTTGCCAAGAACGAAAGAGTTTTGTAGTAGTTGTAAAAAAATGAAAATCGCCCAAACTTCATTTTTTGACGTTTCAGAGGCTCCTGATCATTTTCAGAACAAAAATTGTAAGGGTTAAAAATTGGGGGTTGTTAGGAGTGGGAAAGGGTATGTGTCAATTTGTGGCACTAGTATATTTATACACTTTCAACTCCGGTAATTCTAACACCTATCAGGCATATTTCACACTTCATAAATTTCCCCGAACACTTGCGTCTAAAACTTGAGACCTGAATGATGAGAAATATTGTAAATACGGTACGGTTCAGCGGATTTTATGCTCTGTCGTACCATTTTTTAAGCACGCTGTTTTCTTGTCCGTCTCAGTTAGGATTAGAAATAGTATATCTAACATTTGAAATAGATATATTTCATTGAATAAAAAGTACCAATTGGAAAGTACTGAGTCACTTTACTTAACTCCATTGTTTTCAGAATTGAATCAACTGGAGGACCTTCACACGAACCGTATCACTAGAATTCTGACAAACGACTTCCCGCACTATTTTGCTGTGGTTTCTAGGATAAGACAAGAAGTCCACGCTATTGGACCAGATGGTGGAACGGTCTCAAGCATTGCCGTTCCATTGGTTCAAGCCGTCTTCCCTCCAAATGCTTTGACCAAGAAGATAAGAGTTGGTTTGCAGGTATATGAGATATTTTTCTAATTTTAATTTAATTTTGTCCTAAAAGATCTTGTAGTGTTTTGGAGCTTACCTATGAAAAGATTTCTCGCTCTTTGGGTGGGCATCACCCAACTAAATATTTTAATGTAATTGTAAAATAAGTTGGAAACTTCATGATCGTGATGTAAACTCGAATATTTTGTAATATACAGTGTGGGTCACTTAAGCGTATGCGGAATATAGCGGCTAAACCGTTTCAGTTAGAAAAAAAAATTATTTTTAATTTTTGTTTAGGCTAGGCGTAACACAACTCCGTTATTTTAAATAGAACACCTTGTAGATTAATGCGGTTTTAGATTGTACTCTTCATTTTAGAACAAGTTTGTCAAGTAAATGTATGACCTAAAATTAAGGTGTTTTTTTAGTTATTCACTTATTTATTGAATATTCCTTATTCACAGTATCTTGGAAATATCCAGATATCACTGAAATTGTTCAAGATACACCGTTCTGGTTTTCACGAATGCTATTCGAAGCATTATACAAACGTTCATTTCTTTTTCCACAGCGTCTCACTTTCAGCTGTCAATTTGACAGGTATTTAAATGCGCATATCATATTTTATCTACTGATAAAATCGCGTCAATTGTTTATTTAAACTAGGAACAAAATAAATGCAAATACTGCAAATATGAATAGATTAAATATTAAATGAAATGTTCAAAGTGTCTGCCACCGTGTTGTATAATAAAAAGTACTTTTAAGTTAAGGGGAGCATATAATTTTAGACAAATTTTGTATGACATCCTTTTTTTAAATGTAACGGCTTAGTCGCTGTCCTCCACATGCGCTTAAGTGGCCCACCCTGTATATTCTACTAGCTTTCTGGCCCGCGGTTTAATCCACGGAAAATGTAGGTGGCGTAAGTAACAAAGTAATCACATTTTCCAAGCATTCAAGTTGGCTGTCAATTTACTATTGCAATCAAAGGTAAAACACGTGATCGGAAGTATTACTTAAAAACATTGTCGTGTGTTAGTAACAGTTTCACGTACGGAGTCTGTATCGCTTGACCATCACAGGTTGAGTGGGTCCATGGCTGGCCGCGCTGTTGCCGGCATGACACTGTCGGTGGAGATTTTGGTACTTGCCATGATAGTGGATTGACAAACGTTATAAAACCTCGGGTATCAATTAGTAATTGTACAAAATTTTGTCTCTCCGTATTGTGGTACAGACGTGTTGCTGATAGACCGGATGGACAATGTTATATATAAAGAGAACAAGGTACCGGCCACACCGCATTAGAGTTTGCTAGATAACAGATAAATGTACCCAATAACTATCTATTCGCAGTATTATACTTGAAGTAAAACAAAACACAAAACAAATCTAAATCAAGACGATCAGGGTATGGGAATGTCGAAATGCAGCAAATGCACGATGCAAATGCCCTATTTATATACCCTTACTGATTTTATTCAGACCACCGATTGCACGCTCCAAACACCACATGTCAAATTCCATTAAGCTGTTTGGACTGTAACCCGTAAAATATTTCAAGGTTATTTCCCGGAAGAAAATGTAGCCTATGTGCTATCCCAGACTATATTCTTTATCTGCACCAAATTCCATACAGATTATAGACATTTTAATGTGACTGAGTAACAAACATCCACACTTTTTCATGTATAATATTAGTAGAGATTAGTAGGGTTACATATTTAGTTTGACAATGTCATCATTGGTCTCCCACATTTCTCGCTTCGTCGCTAATAACAGCTCACTTCCCAAACTAGACCTATACTTATACTATATACTATTTCAAGCTCAAGCCATAGATCCACACTCTATCATTTATAATATTAACTGGTTATAGTAGGGATAATATGTCGTTTAACAAGGTCATTATTGGTCTCCCACATTTTACACTTTGCCGCTAAAAACAACTCACTCTCAAACTAATCATGTAATGTACTATTTCAGGCTCAAGCCATAGATCCAGAGTTAGTCTCCAAACTGCTCGGTCACGGAGTTGCAGTCTCTCCAATAGTTACAGTTGAACCTCGGCGTAGGAAGTTCCACAAGGCTATAACGCTCAGCATGCCCGCTCCTAAAGCCCACACCCAAGGGATGATCAACCAATACCAAACCAGTGCCAATAGTACTTTGAGGCTGCTCTGCTCCATCACAGGTAAGAGAAAGATTATTGGTACCAAAGTATACAGACTTGCGAGTAGTATGATCAATCCACGGTTAAACTAGTTTTTTCCAACAAGAAGGCAGGACTGAACGCAAGCTACGAGGGCTTACCCCCTTCGAGAACTACATTTGATTTTTACTTTTATACATACAAAATCCCTATTACTAAACTGAATATGTTTGCTTTTAATCTCTGAAACAATCGTCAGACGTATAAAACGTTATTTAATGCTTTTTAGCAATCAGCACATCACAAGCAAATGGAAAGCAAAAGGTATGGTCTATTGAAAAGCCCGTATCTTGTACGCAAACAGGTAACAATATTGGTAACTGCCACCTATAAATAGTTCTTGAAAGCCTTTGTCCGACTTTGGCCTGAAGATAACCAAACATGAATTTCAGCGTCTAAAAAATTACCCGAGATAAAATGAGATATCCTGTCATCATCTATGAGAATTTGTCACAGCTATGTTTCTTCTCTCTAATTAGAAATCTACTTTGCAGAAGTTAGTGTCTCATAGATGGTATTCTAACTAACTGTATGAGCATATAGGAAGGCTTATGCCAGTGATTCTACTACTCTTAAGTCTGTATATTTTGTTGGTACTCCTAGTCGTTGTTCGATGTTGGATGTTGTAGATGGTGCTAGTTTTGTGATGGTAATTTGGGCTTTTGATATGAAGTGGTGCTCGGTTACAGAGCTTGCATGGACAGTTATTAAAAAATTCATTGAATAATGTTTGAGACCTATATTTTTTAATTCTATCCAGCAGAAATGTTGATTTAGAAAAATCACCTGGCACCGTTGGAATGGATGAAATACTAAATTGTATAATGTTGCATGCCTGTTCGGAAAAGTATGTACGAACGTTTAACACACATTGTCCACGGGGTGTTGAAGCGATTGCTGTGGACACGATGTTTGGACGATGAATACTATGACGCTGTGGCGCGACATATGATGGTTGTCACATTACTTCCCCATTAACAATCATTCCGTTCTACCAAATTTAATGAAGTGTACTAAAAAGTATTCTTGAATGTAGAGACTCGAATTGTTTGGGACATTGAATAATTCTTATCACGGTTTTTGGCAGTCATTATTTCATAATTTCATGCGAAAGAGGTAAACAGATTGACTAATAGTAACATGTGCGTAGCTTGACTACCCTAGCATTTGCATACACTCATGAATTGGATAATAGAGGACCGGTGTCTTCACTCACTTTCTGAAAATACTTCTATGAATTTAATACATTCTGTCGAAATTAAAGTTGTATCTTTAGGTATTACAATGATTTACACCGAAGCTTGACAAAGTAAACACAAATCGCACGCACATGACAAGCAAGTTGTTATAGTGACAGTAACAAGCATAAATGGGGACGACTCAAACTTTGACTAAAAAATTTTCAAGGCGGCGAGACAAAACTAGAAATCATATGCTTTCAATTAAAGTTGTATCTTTAGGTATTACTATGATTTACACCGAAGCTTGACAAAGTAAACACAAATCGCACGCACATGACAAGCAAGTTGTTATAGTGACAGTAACAAGCATAAATGGGGATGACTCAAACTTTGACTAAAAAATTTTCAAGGCGGCGAGACAAAACTAGAAATCATATGCTTCCAAGTTTACACAAACACTTGAGACTGGCAACGTAGCATTCGATCTAGCAACACTGGAGGCGTCGGGCTTGGGGGGGGGGGGGACAGGGGAACATGTGATCCGCCTTCACTATAAGTTTGAACCTGCTCCACCTCAAGGGAACTCATTTTGGGTCAGTCAAACGCATTCACGCGGCTGTAACCGTCCAGCTGAAAGCCAGTATCGAAGTTCCAGCATTGCTATGAGGAGTGGAAGAACTGTCTCCAGCGCTGTGTGGCTCCAAAACTAAATTAATCTGAGGGTTACAATATTAAATTCTAATTATATATGTTATATCATTTAAATTCAACTTTACTTTTTAAAAAATTTATTTGAGTACAGTAACTACTGTCCGTTACAAACGTTTACAATTACTTGACTTGACAGAGTCTAACCGGGTATTGAACACAAGTTTACATAAGTGACTGTTACGGTGCCTAGCCGGGTATTGAATAACATGAAATGGGCGCAAGGCCTGTTTATACTATTGGTGTGCTTACAAAGCACTTCTAGAAAACAAAGCATAAACAACGAGTTAGCGAGAAGTCGTTATCTGTTGCTGATCTAGCGTCTGGTGCAACATTGTATGGAATAGTAAGTCCATTGTTGTGAGTGCATATAACATATATGAATAAAAAAATTATAAAAAATCACTTAGTTCACAGACCTCGTACTTGTAGTTTTGCTGTGACCCGCCAGAGACCGTGAAAAGACCTATAGTGTTTCACTAAATAGTCAATCAGTCAAAAATTGACCGTGCAGCTCCATTTGGGACCGGCAGGAATGCCACTTACCTGATAAAATGATGCTAACTCGACGCTAAAAAACGCGACTTTCTTAGTCTTCGTATAATATGTCACCATATCACTATATTATAACATAACTCTCCACAGTTCTTGTTATAAGCATGTTTGAATTTATCATACAACAATCAATTTCAAAAATAGAATAGAAAATGATTTGTAAAAAATGTATGCTTGTTAAGAATAGAATTGTATGCTAGAAGTAACTGTTACTAAGTGTTGTCTTTACTGTGCAAACTTATTTTCATATACATGCTTCAATAGGAACTAAATCAGGTAAGGTTTAGTTCCATACACATTCTTAGAGCTGTTACACACTAGGCCACCATTGACGGCCATTAGTCGCCACCATTAGTGGCTAGACGTATCCACATTATTCCATATGGATTGACGACACTGGCCGACTCATCTGTGGCCGCTATCGATGATCGCATGTAGGGCAGCTCTGGTGTTACCGTGGCAAGCCAAAACGCGATCTAAAAATGTTCGTATTTATCACAGAGATATCGATAGTAGATCGATGGTTGGTTCTGAAAAACAGCTTGTGCTGATGTAACCCGCCAGGCCATTTATTATTATTATTATTATTATGATTAGAGCTGGCTCGGCCCCGAACGAATCGTTCCGAAAGGACCATACCACAGTAGGAATCAAATGAATCGATTCGGATGGCCCCACAGCAATCGATTCCAGCGGTTTCGATTTTTTATACTTTACCTGTTCGTCCTTACTAGCTTTCACTTCAACACAACATAGATATTTTATACACTTAGAATAGAACCGCTATTGTCTGATTACTTTGGAACTGAACTAAGAACATGCACGTATAATATAATGAATCGATTCCAAGGCCGGAATCGTGAAAGGGTCGACGGAATCGATACCGAGGCCAGGATCGGAATCGTGATCGAATGTGAGGAATCGATTGCAAGACCGAAATTGACATTGTGAACGACTGGAAGGAGCCAATTTTGAGGTCGAAATCGTGAACGAATCGAAGGGGTCGATTCCTACACCGGAATCGGAATCGTGGACGAATGAGAACAATCGATTCCGAAGCCGGAATAGGAAACGTGAATAAATGGGATGAGTCGATTCCGAGACCCGGATCGGAATCATGAATGGAAGGAATGCATTCTGGGGACGGAGTTGGAATCGTGAATGAATAGAGGGAATAGATTCCAAGGCGGGAATCGAAATCGAATGGAATGAATCGATTCCGAGGCCCGGGTCAGAATCGTGAACGAATGGAAGGAAGCAATTCCGAGTCCGGAATCGGAATCTTGAAAGAATTGAGGGAATAAATTCCGATGGAATCGGAATCGTGAAAAAATCGAAAGAATCGGCTGGATTAGAAACCATGGAATCGAATTACCAAAAACAACGATTTGGTCCAGCTCTATACAGGGTGTTTCAAATTCGACAATCACCATTGGGATTTCGGAAAATGTAAGAGATCAGAAGTCGCTTAAATGAGGGCAAAGTTGCGCGTTTAGGTAATTAAGAAAATGAAGCTTAGAAAATTTCGAAATTGATTGTACTGCTGTAGAGAGACGGAAAAAACAAATTTTCAAAAAATCGTTTTAATTTTTTCCTGAATTTATCTGTAATGGGATTTCAAATTAACTCGCACATTAACACTGCCACTTTTTCTCCTTTACAAAATGGCATAATTAGAATTTCAATATGAAGTTTCGTGTCTTTTCTATCTGGTCCCAGCATCAACTTTATTTTCTTAAGGACACCATATTGAATTTTTGTACTTACGAATAGATTTTTAATTGTGATTCTAAAAATATATAATAAGTCTTACATTTACATTGCTAGACCTTAGTTATTTCATTAAAGCAATATTTCCTAGATAGGCCTTAAAATAATCATATTGGAATTTGTTTCGCATACTAGATTTATCCCAAAATCAATTTTATTTTTTATTGGCTTTATTTGAGATGGGATTCCAAAATCAATTGCACCATTATTACTCATTCTCCTCTACAATATGGCGTTAAATTTTCAATTCGACATTTTTTCTTTTGATTTCACCAACTTTGTTTTTTCATATGGACGCTATATTGGAATTTTGTACATTTGAATTTACTTTTCAGTCCTAAATTCAGTGATGTATTTCCTTAGTTGGCCATTAATTTGTTGTTGGATAAGAATTATAAAAAAATAAAAAGGTACATATGGTAAAACATGAACACATGAAAATCTTATTGATGCTAATAACAATAATAATCATAAATAAGCAGAGATAAATCATAGCAGACACCCTGTATAGTAGATCAGACAATGAGTCTTTTATTCAAAAATGTGGCGAATGTGCCCCTTTGGCAAGGATGTACATTCATCATGATTTTAGCCGGAAGATCTCTCGCTTGACCTACCTACCATCTACTATATATCTTTATCAAAAATATGGACATCTTTTATTACATTTTGAGCATATTATTATGAGACGCAGGGCTACCCCACACTAATCGATGGCAGCCACTAGTCCGTATCACTAGTGGGCGTACCAAGCCATCAGACTTGGTA